GTACTCTAGTCGAATACACAAATCACCTACGTCATTTAGAAGCTCGTTTCGGGAACTGCATGCTAGTTATATCGAATGGTTCAAACGGATATCGAAAAGAGTTAAACGTGCATCAAACTTATATCTCTAAAAAAGACGTCTAACTTGTCTTTCTTTTAATTTTTTTAATTATTTCATTAATTTTTATTATTTTTGCAAAACAAATTTTTCAATATAATTTACACCATTTTATTAGCAAATTTACATGAAGTATGGTGTAAAATTTTTAGGATCGCTATAAATTATTTTCGAATTAAATTTGAATTTCATTCACTTCCTAGATTGAATTTGAATTTTATTTCAATTTATTTACATCTTACATTGAACTTGATTTATTTGCCATCGGCTTAACATTAGTCAACAAGGTGATGAACAATATTATACAAGTAACAAAATTTCGCCAAATTTTTATTAAATTATGACATGCCTTAATGAAACATGAGACATTTAAATTTTTGGGCACAAGTCTAAGTAAAATGCAAAATCTAGATGCGAGAAAGTCACGTGCTGAATTAATACAGATTTGTAGAGTTTCCATTATTGATGGTTTTGCAATTATAGTAAATGTTGGAGATCAATTTGTTTAATTTTAAAACTTAGATGCCAAATTGCTACTGAACAATAGATTGAAGTGGGCCGCTCATCTCAATTGGGCCGGTTTTATGATGTTCTTTGGGCTGACCTTTACTTTAGCTGTATTAGACTTTACGTTCTTGCTGTAACTCGACATTTTGTTGCCTTCTGGTTTGTGTTGGCAGCTTCATGGGCCCAATAAATCCTAGCAAGGTTGGGTTTCCCCGTTCCCGTTTCTGCCACCTTTTCCTTTTCTTTTTGTTTATCGAGAAATTTTTTAATACTCTCGGCATATAGCATTCAGCATTTTCTATCACATTTTTTACTGATATACGTATTATTTATACATGTTTAAGTCTCAATTAAATAGCGAATACATATGTCGATTAAACAGTGATAGGATACTGATTAAACCATACTCAGGTAGAAATGTTTCCTAGCCTTTGGGCTAATATTTGTTGTGTCTTCCTTTTTATGTAACTAAGCTTATGAATTTAGGCACCATTGTGTTGTTCTTCCGTCGTATGGCATGTTGAAGGTCATGATCTTTTAAAAACTGTACACATGAGCTAAATAGGTATCATGGAATAAATATTCATATAGGAATTAAAGGTTTGAGTGAGAACAACAAACATATATGTGGTTGTTCATGCTCTACATAGCCCTTTCACTATCAAAAGTGGCAAGAAAAAACCAAAGTAAATGAATTACTTTGCCATAAACAGAGCCCAGAAAATGCATGGCTTGGAGGAAATTGGTGGAGGAGAAGTCCCTCTTTCTCGTCCCGACCCTGTCGTTTTAGAGCTCACCAGATTGCAAAACCAACTCAAAGGTAACTGATCATAACTGGTGAACTAATAGCATAAGCTGTTAAAGACGAAATAATTTTATTTATTTAAATTGGCTTCAACATGCTGCCTCGTGTGTGGACATGCACGATTTCTTATAAATGGGTGGCAGTGATACATGGACTCAAGACTTTTGCACACTATGATACCATAACGGGAATTGTTTTAGTAAATTCCACTATAAAAGTGCAATTATTTTGCTGTTTTATTCAGTGAATATGCTAATTACTGTGGGAATTTAAATAGATGACTAAATAAGAGGATGTCACACAAAAATTTACCATGTATTTGATAAGGCTCGAGTTGTCACCTGTAACTCGCGGTTAATGCCTCTTCTTATTTATGAATACCGGTTCAACTTTACGTTCTTCGGCAGTATCATCAGCTTAGGATTAAGACAGAAGGTAAGGGAATTCTGTTTATCGAAGGGGACTTTCCAAATTCCTCAAAATTTGAATCAAGTACTTGGAACATATATTAGAGAAAAAAATGAATTTCGCACTTTGTTTGTAGATATATTATGTTAAATTTTGAGAAAGCAAATTAACTTATTATATTGAGCAATATAGTCATTAATCTGACACCTAAAACATAGTTTCATAGCTCTGTATATGTCCAGAATTTCTAGTAAGAACACCCTGCTAGTGGTGTTGATGCATTGGGGTAGTTTAGACCTTTCTTAGCTGGTTTTGTACACTAAAATTTCGCAACAGGTTCTCTATTCATCAATGTACATACATTTGCCATCTTCTGCATATTTTCTCCTGGCAAGGAAAGGTGTCCTGGATTGTAGGTTCACTGATAATATTGAACATCTTACTGGTTATTGGTTATATTCTCCTCCGCTAAATTCCTACTTGGATGGCGACAAGCTTGTTTTACGATTACAATCTGCAATCACGATGATAAGAACGATAAATTTGTCTCACAATTTCAGAGAAGGATCAGGAGTTGGGAGAGGCCCAAAATGAAATCAAAGCACTGAGAGCAACAGAAGTCTTAAAGGACAAGGCTTTAGACGAGGTATTCGAAAAATATTTTCCTCATCTTATTATTAAAACAAAAAATAATACAAAATGAATTCAGCTTTGACGCACAAAAATATCGAATATAGTTGCCATGATATGTTTTCTATATATGCTATTTGTTTTTCTAGATTGGAAGTGAATTAAAAAGATTTGAAGAGAAGCTCAGAGTCGCTGAAAACCTTCTTGAACAGAAGGTGTGTGATATAGTCTCTCTTCTATGAAACAATATTTATATATCTTTATCTGAATTGTCTGAGAAGGTACTTATTTTGAGTCGGATTGATGCAGAATCTTGAAACTACGAAACTCACATATGAGAAGAGGGGGGCATTGAGTGCACAATATGCAGCTGAAGCAACTCTTAGGAGGGTGTATGCGAATCAAAAGGACGATGATTCTATTCCTATTGAGTCAGTTATTGCTCCTCTTGAGGCAGAACTCAAGAAGTATAAGAACGAGGTGCATACATGGATGATTAAAGATAGTTTCTATTCAATGAATTATACGATAAGCATTGATCTAGAAGGAAAACTCTTCTGATGCTCCTTCGACTAAATTGATGTAAAAATTTCCTAAAATGGAAGAGAAAGTGGAAGAGAAAGTGGGAATTAGAAATTTAGAATCATACGCTTGTGCTGAAAAACACACACGAGCAAAACTGACTTGCTTTTTATCTGATATCATTGCCTTGGAGCTTTTTAGGTTGCAGCACTGCAGGAAAATAAGAGGGCTTTGGATCGTCTCACCAAGTCGAAAGAAGCGGCTCTGCTTGAAGCAGAAAGGATACTGAAAAGTGCTCTAGAAAGGGCACTTGTAGTGGAGGAGGTTCAAAATCAAAACTTCGAGCTTAGAAGACAAATTGAAATCTGCCAGGTAAATTTTCAGACTGAATTTTTACGAGGTTAATCAATGAAATGTTTTTGGAGATAACTAACGGAATTTCATGCACAGGAGGAGAACAAAATACTTGATAAGACAAATAGGCAAAAAGTTTTAGAGGTTGAAAAGCTCAGCCAAACTATTCAGGAGCTTGAGGAGGCCATTCTTGCTGGTGGAGCAGCAGCCAACACTATTTGTGATTACAAACGACAGATTTCGGAGTTAAATGTAGAACTTGTTTAACGTTTTCTGAATGTTTGTGTCTCTTACAGTTAATAATTTACCAAACACAAGGTAGTCACAATTAGACATGTATTTTATATCAACTGATCTTATTTCTATGAAACTTCATAGGAGGAAAAGAGGACACTGGAAAGAGAACTAGCAAGAATAAAGGTTTCAGCAAACCGAGTAGCAACTGTTGTGGCTAACGAGTGGAAAGACGAGAATGACAAAGTAATGCCGGTCAAGCAATGGCTGGAAGAGAGAAGGCTGTTGCAGGTATCGACCGGTGTCCCAATCTCAGATGCTCGATCACTTTTCCTTATCTGCACATCAAAAACTTTACAATTCAAACGAAAAATCTAAAATGAGTTTTCAGTTTTTTATTAATTATTGGATTTATACATTGTAGGCAGAAATGCAACGGTTAAGAGACAAGCTGGCGATTTCAGAGAGAACGGCAAAGGCTGAAGCACAACTCAAGGTTAAAACTTGTATTCTCTACTATACTATAAGACATGTTGTGCTTCTTGCTTCTTGATTAAGTAAATTGAAGATGTTAAAATCATTTTCTCCAGGATAAGTTGAATTTGAGGCTGAAGACACTGGAAGAAGGCTTAAAGCATATGTCATGTTTCTCAGTCAATCCTAATGCAAACGGTGGATGCCCGAAAACTGAAAAGACCAAGCACTTTTTTGGGATCCTAGCGAGTAATACCCGAATGAGAAAGAGATCTACATCACAACCAAGGGGTTCCACTATCAACAAAAGCTCATCAATGCCAGGAGACGAGAAACAAACTTTGACTGCTAAAGGAGAAATGAAGCCAGGTGATGGTACAAAAAGGAGAGATCCTACGGGAGAGACTTTGCTGAAAAAGAGTATGTGGGCTTCTAGGAATAAATTCATAGACAGCGAAAAGGAGAACGCAGATATGAATAAAATTACTACTGTGAATCTTGAGAAGTATAACAGCAATGAAATTGGAGACATGGTGAACGCAAAAAGTATAGTTGGCAGCAATGGAGAGACGAAGAATGCGGATAGTGCTAACAGCAATAGTGATGATGTGGTATCAGGATTTCTGTATGATAAGCTTCAGAAAGAGGTTATGAATTTGAGGAAGTATTGTGAGTTTAAAGATAGCTCTTTGAATGCTAAGGATGAAGAAATCAAGGTAAAGTACCTATTGGCAACTCCGCCCAACCCCAAGGCACCTGCAGTGTGCTTCTTCCATTGTTTAACTAGTATATTTGAGTTATTTACAGATGCTCATGAAGAAGATAGAAACCCTGTCAAAAGCAATACAAATTGAGTCTAAGAAAACAAAGAGAGAAGCTGCAATAAGAGAGACTGATTCAGTATCAGCTAAGGTGGATGACAAGACAAGAAAAACAAACTCCTCAAGAAGGTTAGCATTTCGTCTCTGTCCCACCAACCCTTTGGCCGTTCCCTGTGTACTTTTCCATTGATCCAAATTTGTATGATTATATCCACTCATGAGATATTTACTATTTTTGCGAATTGTTTCAGGTCCTAAGTGCCTCCTGTAGATGCATTTTGAGAGAGAGAGAGAGAGAGAGAGAGAGAGAGAGAGAGAATGAGCTTGGAAATCAGTAGGTGTATCATACCAGTTATGCACAGAATATGAGTGATTCAAGTTAGAAGAAATAATGTTTTCAATTGATTTGTAAGTGGGATTGTCAAGCGTTTTAGAGGATGAATTTGGGAGTTATTTTCAGCTAAGATTCAAAGGGATGATATTCAATCCAACTGAAAAGCTCTTGTAAATAATTCAAATAAGTAATTATAATCTATATTCCGAATGGTTGAGCATATGTTAAATTCAAGAACCCGAAAATTGTTGGAATCCCTAAACAGGGGAAACAGACAGTGCTACAACTTAACTATTAGTGACTAATTCTGAGACATTTGCAGTATAAAAGTTGAATGTATTCCTCATTGACATCATCAACTAAGAAACTGCAAAATTCTGAAACATTTGCATTTGTATAATCGATAGCCTTTGAAGAGATCTCTTCATTCAAACATGATTGACATAAAAATACAGATAGAACCTCGGGGCTTGGTGGGGGCGTTTGAGGTAACTTGATTAAGTAGGAACCCCCCCCCCCCACCTCCCTTTTTCGTAGAATTCTTCGGAGGGTACATATTATAGCAGAAATGAACACCTCTAAATTCATCCAAAAGTGGATACTCTTCCTGTTTGTTCACATGTACAGTTCCACCAGAAATCGGGGAGCAAATGAAATAATAAACTGAAAGAAAAAACCTTCCACGCTGTTTAAACAATACTACAACTCTGGAATGGTAGCTAAAGATGAGGATCGAAGTGCAATTTGCCTCGATTTGAGATTTTTTGTACTAATGATCAGCAGCTCCAACTGCTTCTTAGTGTCTACCATTCTTACTCTCTGGCCTTCCTTTGCCACTTTTGGTGGTGTTAGAGGGCGGCAGTATAGTGTCATCTGTGGCAATTCTGACTTTGCACGCAGAGAAAAAAGAGCCTTGCAAAGCCAAAAACGTCCTGCCTTCTTCTTGGCGACGTGGCGTCAAGTTCCTTTTCTCCTCCATATTCTCCGATTTTCATCTGAGATGCTACGAAGTTTCCCATTTTGCATGGATGTTGAATTTAGGAAAACTACACATATATAATGTTGCTTACACCACCCTCATCTCTTTAAAAAAAAAAAAAAAAAAAACTGCAAAGCACCTGACAGTTTGTTTAATATTTGACATTCTCTATAGTTGACGAAATATGTTTATTGAACCTTCCACCCAAAGTGCACATGGTATGTCAAAAATGTCAACTCCTTGCTATCATATTTGTTCTCACCTGAATGTGAACTGGTTTTGAGAGATTCTTCTTCAATCTTTTTCTTTTATGGTCCATCATTTTCTCCCAACTCAACAACATATTAATGAAGGGTTATCAACGGATCTGGCTACAAATTAGCAACCGAACTGGAAAATGAGCATAAAAATTGAAGCCGGGACAAAATTTTGAATTATCCAAGAAAATGTGCATTCTGGTCAAAACCATGCCATCATACAAATGCAGGCATTCAATGAACTCGTATACAATCATGAAACTATCTTAGAAGGGCGAAACAATCATGAAACAATCAGTATAAGCCAATCCACGTGACCAAAAAAAATAAAATAATAAAAATAAAAAAAAAATGAAGAAGAAGAAGAAAATTCTCTATTGTAGACTAAGCATAATTGCACAAGGCCAGAGAAACAATAATTTGAGGTGTCATGTATCAACAAAAAGGCTAAGAACTCCACCTAAGCAGCAACTGCCTCCTGGGAACTTCTAGACTTCAACGAAGATGTGGCTGCAACCTTCATCGTCAAAAACCAACCAACCTTAGTCTGGTGCCTCATGAAATGGAGCATTTAGCTCCTTCAGATGGGATTCAAAAACACCTGCCAATCCTTTCTCAGAGTATTTATGTTTCCCATGCCCTGTGTTGATCCCAAGCAATGATGGAAGTTCTTCCCCATCTTCGAATGTTCTCGATAAGTCATTCACCCAGATGTGCAGTGCAGTTAAAGCCGCCCCTAGAGAGAGGCTCTTCAAGTGCAAAGACCACTGGGTTAGAGGTCTAGACTGTACATCAGCATATATTCCACGTGCGAGCCCAAGGTCTAACAACTGACAAGCTCTCTCCAAATGATTAAGGTTGACACAGAAATCAATTAAACAACTGCAATAGGCCTTTCTTACATCATTACCAATACATTCAAAGAGTTCACCAGCTTCCTTCTTGAAGATTTCTCCTTCAAAATTATCTTCATCTGTGAGGATTTTGACCACACGACCAAGCTTCGCATTAGTCCTCTCAATGCAACCCATCAACTTAGAAAGTTCTTCTTTTGGTGCTTGAGTCATTACATTAAGAAGACAACCGCAGAATCGCTCATCTGGAGTTACACTTAGCTCTAGCAACCAATTAAATATCCTTACAATATCATCTATTTGGCCAGCTTTCCCTTAACACTGGATGAGTGAGGTCGAGACAAAGATGTTAGGCTCAAACCCAGCTTCCACCATTTCATTCACGGTAGCCTCTGCCTGGTTAACTTTCCCACTCCAGGAATGAATTGTAATCAAAGAAGAAAATGTCCAACTGTCAGGCATGCAGGTCCTGAACTCTTCATATCCTCAAAAATTTCAACGGCTTCCTCTGCATGTCCTACATCAGCACACATATACAAAATAGTATTATATAAAAAAACGATAAACTCCATGCCCATCTCCTTCATCTCCCTGTAAACATTAAGTGTGTCATCACCATACCAAGCCTACAATATGCCCTAATCAATGTGGCATAACTACCCCAACTTGGATCGATCATATTATTCACCATCTCCTTGTAGATATTCTTCGCGTGCTTGCCATGCCCTCTTTGCTCTTCCCATAGCATCCAGTAAATTGTTATACAAAGCCAAATTAGGCTTAACTCCTAGTGCCTTCATTTCCTCGTACAAGTTTGTCATGGTTCCCATTGGGGTGTATGGGTACCTGAATCCCACATTGAAAGTGTAAGCTTCCTTTGTGTGTGTCATGGTATCCATTGGGGTCTAAGGACATCTGAATTTCACATCGAAAGTGTAAGCTTTCTTTACGTAGTTTATATTGGTTTGGGTTCTCCAACCTCATTGGCTAGTTTTTAGGGCTAACTCTCCCAATTGAGCATGATAATGGTACCAGAGCAAGCATCATCTCTTCTGATCTCGGTTACCACTTAGGGTGTATGGGCACCTGCTCGACGTGAATGTTAAGTCGGAAGCACGGTGGTTTGTCATGGTTCCCATTGGGGTATATGGGCACCTGAATCCCACATCGAAAGTGTAAGCTTCCTTTGTATGGTTTATATTGGCTTGGATTTTCCAACCTCATTAGCTAGCTCTTGGAGTCTGGCCCTCCCAATTCAGCGTAAAAACGTTCAAGCACCCATCAAAATTCACGGATGCCGCATAAATCTTAACCAACGTTGAGATGGTGACAACGCCAACACACCATTTCTCAGTCCTTGCACGATCATACAAACTCATAGCCATATCCACATTCCCTGCCTTCCCATATTCGTCAATCATAGTAAGTCACCACATCAGGTTCACATCCAAAAAGATGACATTTTTTCAAACAATTCAACAGCCTTTTCAGGCAAAGAACACACCCTAGCACAGCTAATTATGGTTGAGAAAGTAACATTATCAGGCTTAACCCCTCTCTCAAGCATTTGATTAAATAAATTTTCTGCGCCATCGAAATCCCTATATTTCCTAAAAACATTCAAAGTAACATTATACAAAATAAATTCTTCACTCAATTTCAACCATTCTTGAAAATACTTAAGCACCAATAGCGCAGTTTCCAGGTTCGACATGTAGTTCAATACAATCACAGCATCTTGTTTCACAATTTTAGTCCCAAAGCTTTCCAATATATTCACTATATCTTCTTCTAACGGGGAACAAGAATCCAAAGATTTCGAAATTTTAACTAAAGAAGAATACCTGAAATCATAGGACTTCTGCCTTAATTTCGATGCTCTGTGGCTCTTGGGATCGACCCAGATGTAGGATTTTGTCAAAGAATTGGTTTTTTTAGTTGGGCTGTGTGAATCTTCTGAAATTGCGGCGTGCTCTCGTTCTTGTAAAGAGACATTGGAAATATGAAAAGGGGGTTTCCGGGGACGAAATTTGAGGCGAAAATCGACGGGTTTTTTACGGTCTGAGACTGAGTTGAAGGAGGTGTGGAGGAGACATTGAGTTGCAAAAGAGATTGGTGCCATGAGAAAGTGAAGTAAATGGTGAAGCACTGAGATTGTAAGCCATTGTTGCTCTTTTCACTCGCTATAGTTTTTCGGTGTGTATGTTTTCATGGGTTTTGCCGATCACCGAGAGCTGAGAGGTAAAGGGACGAGGGCGGGCACGGGGCCTTGTGCAAGGTCATGTTTGATAGCCTTGATTTTTCATTTTCATTTTCATTTAATTTGTATTGTTTGATTGTTAAAAATTTTCATGGAATTTGTTTCCCAACTTCTCTCCACACATGTGCCAATTTCATAGTTTTGTGGAAAATCGTTTGGATTTGCAGGCACTTTTTTTTCTTTTCCTTTTTTTTTTTTAAATTTTTTTACAATTGGAACAAATTCTATTCTCAATTGTAACAAATTTTGTCCTTTTAGTTGACAATTTTAATAAAAAAATAAAGTCAAATGAACATCAAAAGATAAAACATTTCGACATTTTTCAGGTGGAAAATTATACAAATCAAACACATTTAATTGTCAATCTCCAATAAAACAAATTCTAAGCAATTCAATTCCTTGAAATTCATTTTCTTTTCATCCAAATTTCATCCTTACAATTAAACGACCCTAAATGTTTCTTTTAATTTTTGTTAGTCCCCAATCTATGATCAAGTTACAGATTGGTCCTCAACCACAAAAATGAGGTAAACAAACCCTAACTTTATTGTTAAAATGACAAGATTTAATAGATAACAATGGTCATTGAACTTTGTTATATGTTACTACTTGCTCAACGATCTTTTAAAAGTTAGCCCTTTTTTGTTTCCCATTTTTTCTTCATTAAAATGAAAAATATGATCATTATCCATCACATTAAGCCACCAAATTTGAATTTCTATCTCTTGTGTGTGATCCATAACGGCTATATTTTTCATTCTTATTTTTACATTAATGTGTATCAAACGAGGTCATACTCGTTGCTCATTGAACTTTGCTATGAGTTAATACTTGCTCACTGAATTTAAAATGTTACTTGTTGCTAACATAAATTTAGCTAAGGTTATTAGTTCCTCACTAAACTTTGATATAAATAACAATAATGGAAATGATACGAGTGATTGATGGAAAATTTTGTTCAAATTAGAGTAAACAAAGAATAACCTTTTAAATTTTGATGATCAAGTAGTAACCTTTAGCAAAGTATAGTGACCATTAATTAATTTACACTAGTTTTTCGATATGTGTTTTTCCTGGGTTTTGCCGGTGGCAGAGGGTTGAGGGGTTAAGGGAGGATGGCGGGCATGGGCCTTATCCTGTGGAATGTTTTGATTATCTAAATGTTTTTTCTAATATTGCTTAGTCCCCAATCTATGATCAAGTTACAGATTGGTCTTCAGCCACAATGATGAGGTAATTAAACCCCAACTTTATTGTTAAAATGACAAGATGTAACAGAAAGCATGGCTACTCTACATGATACCTCACTTATAATATCATCCATATTTGTTCGTCTAAATTGGCGAGCCTCGAGGATCTTGAAGAGATGGTGCTCTCGTCCATGTTGAATTAGAGATGGTATTTTCTTTGTGTCGGTATATGGTTGTTGTTCACGAAATATTTTCTTTCGATTTAAATCACTGCAAGTGTACGATTCGTTAACAAGTAATAAAGTAGATCAATTGAGTCCGAACATCATCCCAAAGAGACTAATTAGTTTAATTTTACCTAACTTGACCTTAACCAAAACTGATTTGTCAAACGTGAATTGTAGTGACTTAAATTAACCTTACTTGGATTAAATATGCAAATATGTATTATTTGAATGAACTAAAATGCGAAGTGAATATGTTGATTGCAAGTTGGTGTACTCAATAAATATAAAAGTGCATTAGGATCACGAATTCCCAAACAATGCTCAATTTAACTTTAATTCCACACTTTGACAACATGATCTCCTTAATCTATCTAACACACTCTCTCGAGATGAACTGAACCTATTCTCATACGCTACCAGCCTATATCTCTATGATGAATGCAAATATATGAGAATGCATATAGTTTTGTGAGTACTTAGAGATTCACACAAAGCATAGGGGTATATTTATATCCCCTATCAGGCCCTACGATGATTTATACCTTGTTGAATTCATTCCTCTTCTTTTAAATAGATAAAACAAACCACCAAAACTCACACAATTACCGGCCCATAATCATGGAAGCAATTAAATGCATATAAATCATTCAAAACAATCAATACGTGTTTTAGTGTCAAAATGCGGAACAAAGAATTAAATATCACATTACGAGGTTCATCGATCTCCTGGTATAGATTTTTCTAGCCTAGCATAATGGGAAGAAGAACATAACAACAAGAATTAAAAAAAGACATCGCCCTATTGAATTCTTGAAGTGAGACCTTGAATCTTTTTGTTCTTCCTTCTTCCTTCTCTTCAAATCCTCCCAAAATAATGTATAATTCGTCCTTTCTATTTTTGGACGTCCCTAGGGCTTTAAAAGGTTCCTAAGATTTGTTTCCATAAGAGTTTTAATCAGAAAAGGAAACCAGAAAATTCTTGCTGCAATTGGCCTGGGCTGTTGCTCACGCAAAACCCAAGCTATCACCCAGGCCAACATTTTCTTCTCAATAATAAGAAAAACATATGGGGCGATCGCCCGATTTTTATAAGTAGGCTGTCGCCTAGGCAAAATTTCTTTCATATGTTGTATTTTAGCCCCCGAAGTCGATTTTTTATTCTTTCAAGCTCTTTCTCTTGCAATTTCAACTCTTTGACTTTCATTTGCATCCAATTGAACCCACAACATCTTTAATTTTCATTTTGTGATCTGAATCAACTATTGAAATGTTGCAATTTAGTCCTCATACTTTGAATTCCCCCCCTTTTTTCCTTTTCCAATTGCTTAGGAAACGGTCCATCACTAAAATAAACGAAAAATTACTCAAGTTAAGTGTCAAATAACACTTTCATGACATAAAAACTTAATAATATGGTCTAAATAAGTGCACAAAATGCACTTATCAAACACCCCCAAACTAAAACCTTTGTTCGTCCCCGAACAAAACAAAACTCAAGCATAGATCATATTACTAGTTGCACATAGGTCACAAATGTTGGACTCAATAATGAACAGCTTATCGCATGCCTCAGGTTCGAATTTAAGTTACACTTTAGAAAGTTTCAAACAACATTTAAAATAAATTTTTACTTATACGATGCTGAACTTAGTGTGGGTGCGATTGGCCAACCTTGAACTCACACTCATACTAGAACATAATCAATCAAGTGTCATTGATTTATTTTGCAATCCCAACCCTCTTGTGGTCATTTTTCCTTACACCTCTCGTGTAGAATCACTCCTTATGCTTTTCTCTCCAATCCCGAGGTATTTTTAGCACATGGGGATTTCTAAAATTATTATCCTTCATTTTTCCCCCACAAAGTGATCAAAGTTAGATACTTGCCAACCTAGAATTGAGGTGGTAAGTTTTCTCAAAATCACACCGCCAGTCTCTAGAGTTCAAATCTTAAAGTCCTGATTGGGCACTTTTCTTTTTCTAACATCTCCTGTGCAATACTATTCTCCATTAAGCTTTCTAAATAACTTCTTTAGCGAGCTTTAGACCAATGACTCCCAAGCCAGCTGATTTTAGGGCATCAGGTTTTAAAACACCCTTACATGCTTACTTGCTCGAGTTATAAAGGCTTCGAAGAAAGTTAGAAGATGTATCAATTTTTTAAGAGAATCTATTTTTTTTAAACATCTCCCATGCAATACCTCTCTCCATTAAGCTTTCTAAACGACTCTTGTAGCGAGTTTTAGGCCGATGACTCCTAAGTCAACTGACTTTAGGGCACCAGGTTTTAAAATACCCTTACAGGCTTAATCACTCGAGTCAAAAATGCTACAAAGAGAAGTAGAAGATGTATGACATTTGATTTTTTTATTTTTTTATTTATATTTTTTTATTTTATATGATTAGTACCCATTTTAGACTTTTTAACTCAAACTCCTTTAACTATAGTTGGGATCCTGGAACTCCAAACCATCACATTTCTATGACGACAAGCACTAACCATCTCACCCAGTTTGGTTTCTATATAAAGGTTTTGGGAATTTTATTCGAAACTAGATCAACAACATCAACAATTAAATTCACTCGATCAAATTATGCCCCTAATGCAAATGATAAGTCAAAATGGTTATGCACTTAAATAATTCAATCTAACATGGATAAGTACTCAAATAATTGCACGTGTTATCGTGTTCTCCAGTAACCTAGCTAAAGGCATACTTAATTTGAACTAATATCATCATAGGCAGTAAGTCATTCAACGCTATACTGGGCAATAGTAAATAATATTTTTTTTCTTAAATAGTTATACAAACCCAATTAGCAATTTAAGGACTCGTCAAAATGAGTAGCATATGTGTCCTAGCATTTACCCCACCCTCAAACAAAATATTATATTGTCCCCAATGAAAAAGCAAAAGTACGCAAAAATAAAGAGTAAAGGATCAAATACTCCCCGAGGGTGGATGCGGATGAGTAGAGTTGTCAGGTTGGTCTGCCTGGCTAGATGAACTCGTGGTTCGAAGAGATTCGACGGTTCTTGCTATTTGGTGTACATTACAATCAATTGTCTCCAGTTGACTCCCAAAACGCATCATCTGCTCATTCACTTGACCATAAGCATAAGTGAGTGTTCTTTGATCATAACGTGTCCGGTCATCACTTAGCTGGAACCCTCACACTTGTACACTTACTCTTTGTAACTCCCTCTGCATATCTAGCTGCATTCGCTGCATTGCCTCCAAAGCATTTGTCATGGTGCCAACAGATCTACCCAGCTCCACTTCAGTTGCCTGCATCTGTGACAACTGTCTACTGAGAAGGACTATATCAGCATCTAGGACTTGCTGGGGTTCATTAGGACCCAGTTCGAGACGATGTACTCTCTCTGCTCCTCTCAATCTAGCCTTTGAATTTTCAATTACTCTTCTACTTAATGCATCTGGAGCTACACTCTCTTCTCTTGGCAACAATGGTACCCCGGCTGCTAGAGAAATCCCACTGATCAAGCGAGGAAACATAATACCTCGCTGAATATCTATGGAAGAGGTAAACTCTCGTATGAAGGTATATATATAGGCTCCCAGGTCAAACTTACGCACTCTTGCCATATGATAAAGTAACCTTGCCCTTTCTTCATTGAATCTCGTCTGTTGGGATGTAGGGTAAATGTTTGTGCAGAAGATGATGTGCAAGAGTTTGAGCTCTAGAGTTAGTTCGTTATGCAGGAAATGAAATGAATTAAGTGGCCAATCAACTTCCCTAACATACAGAAAATGTGCTACCAGTGCCATGTCTTGTTCCTCTAGTAATGGCTCTACATGAGTGTGATTCAACCTATAGTACCTGTCAATTGTTGTTGGGCTGAACCGAATCCATTTTCCTCTAACCCATGTTTGACTTCTATGAGGAGATTTTGGGTTATCAATATCAGCATTGTAATTGGTGAAAAATTCCTTTACCAATGTAGGAAATGCCGCGTGAGGTGTATCAATAACTTTGTCCTACCCACAATGGTGTATGATTCTCTCCAGTAACGTTCCTCCAAAATCGCTAAGTATGACCCGCCGTTCTCGATAAAATTTCTTATCTTTCCACTTTGTGTTAAAATTTTCACGAGTCTTAACAGTCACAAACCGTGGAATATCCCTGTCAACTAGATTTTATGTTGCCCGTTGGCATCGGGTTGAGGTTTTGCCAACTTTAGACTTTCCTTTCTCATGAGTTGTGGCCTTCCTTTTTGGTGGCATTCTATACGTACATATGAATATAGAAAATGTAAGTATATAGGTAACAAACAAATGAGTAAGGTGAAGTGGAGAATACCCCCAAACTATGCCAATTATCATGTGCCAAAATGTAACAACATGTGCCATGCGTGAGAAAATGTCATTAAATAGGATATGTATAAAATAAATGAATATAATACATCTCAAATTCCCTAAACAAAAAGTTTGTATCGTAAGGTTGTTGATGTGTATCCATGGTGCTTAGGGTATGCAATTCAAAATTTTGGCGTTTTCTAATGCAATTCTGTGAATCTCAACACCAAAAACAATCTACAACATGTATCATTGCTTCCAATTACTAGACTCTCCCTACTCACCCAATAATCTCTTATTAGGCAATTTATCAAATAACTTGAAGGCACTTAATTTTTCTAAGGTTGCAAGAGAGTAATGTTTGAATCAAAGCCCCATTTGCTTTTTGTCTTCATCACAACACAAACCTATTAAACCACTATTGATTTCATCACAAACTCCTTAATATGCCTAGGAAATCCAAATGAAATTGTCGGCTCAAAATGTGAAGAGAAGAGATAGGAGAAGAGTGCATACCTTGAAGGAGTTGAATGCAATGGATTGAATTGTCCAACCAATCTTGTGTGTTAGATGAGTTCTTGTGTGTGTAGTGTCGATCTTATGCCGTGAGTTGCGAATTTCGTGTTTGTGTGTGCGTGAGTTTTTATAAAAACTGTATTTTTTTGAACTGGGCGGCTGCAGTTAATGGCCTGTTGGCCTTTAACGCAGCCGGGCGAGCACCCGGCTTATAAAGCTGAGCACTCATCTAGCCTCGCGGAGCCCCCCTCCCTTTTTTTTTTTTTAAATACATTTGATTCCACACACACGACTTTAATCAAATATGTCCCAAAAGGTGGTTTTCGATTGGAGAATTAATCTGGCCTCTCACATACCCTAAAAATTTTGAAAATATGGTACTCAACTTGGGGTATGTGCCGGCCATAGACTTAGTGCCAAAATCAGTTTTTGAATTGAAATCACACCATAACCCTGAATTTTTTTTGAAAAACAACATTATGCCTCGAAATGCGTGATTATCATACCCAAAACACTCAAATCAATCACAACTCATGCTCGATGCATAGGGCATCTTGTGGGGGTAGTGTTTAGACTATTTTGACATGCATGGATGATCGATGACCTAACTATAAAAAAACAAAAAGAAAATGTGAACGTGAAATTGAAAGGCTCCTAAGCTAAAGCAAAAATAAAACGAAATAAGTTAAAAGGATACAGTGGGTTGCCTCCCACACAGCGCTAGTTTATAGTCGATAGCTCAACTTTCCCATAGCTGCTTTATTCTGGTGTCCCGAGTTGAACATTGGACTTTTACTTGGGGAAGTCACCTCTCCAGTAGTGTTTTAGCCTTTGCCCATTTACTGTGAAGGTACCCTTAGTTTCATGGCTGACTTCTATAGCTCCATATGGTAAAACCTTTGTGACAGTATAAGGACCCGACCACCATGTCCTTAATTTTCCCGTGAAGAGCTTTAGTCTCGAGTTGTACAATAACACTTTCTGCCCCACTTTAAATTCTCGCCTCTAAATGTGCAAATCATGCCACTTTTTGGTTCGTTCTTTGTAGAGCCTTGAGTTTTCATATGCTTCCATCTTGAATTCATCTAATTCATTAAGCTGCAGTAAACGCTTTTCACCGACTGCCTTCAAATCCATGTTCAATTGTTTCATAGCCCAATATGCCCAATGTTCTATCTCTAGTGGCAGGTGGCACGCTTTTTCAAAAACCAGGAGATACAGAGACATACCTATCAGTGTCTTGAATGTCCTATAAGCCCACAATGCGTCATCCAGCTTTTTAGACCAATCATTTCAAGATGAATTCACTGTTACCTCAAGTATCCTCTTCAATTGCCTATTGGACACTTCAACTTTTCCGCTAGTCTGAGGGTGATATGGAGTAGCTACACGATGTTTTACGCCATATTTACTCAACAACTGTTCAAATTGACGATTGCAGAAGTGTTTGTCCCCATCACTGATTATAGCTCTCCGTGTGCCAAAGCGAATGAAAATGTACTTCTTCAGGAAATCAATTATCACCTTCGCATCATTGGTAGGCAATGCAACGGCTTCCACCCACTTCGATATGTAATCAACAGCCACCAGTATGTATTCATTGGAGAACGATGGGAGAAACGGCCCCATGAAGTCGATCCTCCCAAACATCAAATATCTCAACCTCCAATATATTGTTTAATGGCATTTCATTTCGCCGCGAGATATTCCCAATGCACTGGTACCTATCACACATCTTTACAAATTCAAAGGTGTCTCTGAATAATGTAGACTAGTAAAACCCCGACTGTAGAATCTTCGCAGCAGTCTTTGAAGCTCCAAAGTGTCCCGCATATGAGGATGAATGGCAATGCTCAAGAATCTTCGGTACTTCTTCAGGTACACATTTCTTAACAATCTGATTTGCCCTGTGCCTGTAGAGAATACGATCTTCCCAGAAGTAGTATTTTAACTCCGAGAAGAACTTTTTCCTCTGATGACTTGAATAATCTAGTGGTGGAATGGATTTGGCCAAATAGTTTACAATATCGGCATACCAAGGTGCTTCTTCAATACTGAATATTTACTCATCGGGAAAAATCTCGTTGATGTCCACTGATTCCTTCGATTCTTCGAACTCCAATCAAGACAAGTGATCAGTCACCACATTATCACTCCCTTTTTTGTCTTGATTTCGATGTCAAATTCTTGCAAGAGTAATACCCAGTGGATCAGTCTTAACTTTGCATCCTTCTTTGTCATCAAATACTTCAGTGCGGCATGATCTGTGTACACTACAACTTTAGACCCCACGAGATATGATCTGAATTTGTTGAATGCAAAAACCACGGCCAAGAGCTCCTTCTCAATGGTGGCATAGTTGATTTGTGCATCATTTAAGGTTCTGCTTGCATAGTAAATCACGTGAAAAACCTTATTTCGTCACTGCCCCAAAACAGCTCCTATGGCATGATCGTTGGCATCACACATTAGCTTAAATGACAGTTCTCAATCCGGTGCTACAATTATCGGTGTTGTTGTAAGTTTCGCCTTCAATGTATTGAAAGTTGTTAGGCACTCCTCATTAAACTCAAACGGTATGTCTTTTATCAACATATTGCATAGTGGTTTAGTGATTTTCGAGAAGTCTTTGATGAATCTCCTCTAAAACCCAGCATGTCCCAAGAAACTACGAACCCCATTGGTGGCGGTAGATTTTCAATAACTTGAATCTTCACTTTGTCCACCTTAATTCCCTTCGATGACACTCGATGCCCAAGTACAATCCCTTCCTAGACCATAAAGTGGCATTTCTCCCAATTCAAAACCAGATTAGTCCCCCTACATCTCTGTAATACCAAATTCAAGTGCTTCAAGCACTCATCAAATGACGATCCGAAAACTGAGAAGTCATCCATGAATATCTCAATGAATTTTTCCACCATATCGGAGAATATCGCCATCATGCATCGCTGGAATGTTGTAGGAGCGTTGCAAATACCAAAAGGTATCCTACGGTATGCAAAAGTACCATAGGGACAAGTGAAGGTGATCTTTTCTTGATCATCTGGTGTAACTGGTATCTGATTGTACCCTGAATATTCATCAAAGAAACAGTAATGTGAATGCCCCGCCAGTCTCTCTAGCATCTGATCAATAAACGGGAGTGAAAAATGATCCTTCCTTATAGTTGCATTGAGTTTGCAATAATCGATGCAAACCCTCCATCCTGTCACTGTTTTGGTGGGAATTAGCTCATTCTTCTCGTTAGACACCACTGTGATTCTACCCTTCTTCGACACAAATTGAACTAGGCTAATCTATGTACTATTTGAGATTGGGTATATAATTCCTGCATCCAGTAATTTAAGTACCTCTACCTTGACCACTTCTTTCATGTTCGGATTCAACCTTCTTTGACCTTCAATATTCGATCGAAAATTATCCTCCATGAGAATCTTGTGCATACAGAGTGAATGACTGATCCCTTTGATATCTGCTATGGTCCAACCAATCGCCGTCTTGTTTTCCCGAAGCACTCTAAGCAATTTTTCTTCCTCCACTTCACTGACGGCGTTCGAGATAAACACTGGGAGTGTACAAGAGTCCCCCAAATATGCGTATCGAAGATGTGGCGCCAATTGCTTTAGTTCCAATAGAGGTGGATGCTGAATGGATGGTAGTGGTTTTTTGGATCCAACTCCAAGTTCCTCAAAGTGCCTTTTCCTTGTGTAGGGCGAATTAGTCTCCAAGAAGCTTGCACATGTTTCAATCTCTACAAAATCTGTGTGAATTGATTAAGACTGTGCAATGCATGCCTCATAAGCATCTTTTGAACGTTGAAGTCGAAACGTGTCTTGAAGCACCTTGTCGACCACATCAATTTGGAAGCAACTATCTGACTCTGTAGGAAGTTTCATAGCCTTGAAGACTTTAAATGAGATATGTTCTTCTCCAAGTCTCAAAATTAGCTGCCCCCTTTGAACGTCAATTAAAGCACTGTCCGTAGCCAAGAATGGTCTGTCTAATATCAACGGAATGTCTTTGTCTTCTTCCATGTCCAAGATGAGGAAATCAGCAGGAAAGATGAATTTTCAGCCTTGATAAGCATGTCCTCTATTATTCCTCTGATATGCGTCAATGACCTGTCAGCCAATTACAGCGTCATAGTAGTTGCCTTAGCCTCACCCAAATCGAGTTTCCTAGAAACAGATAAAGGCATAAGATTAATACTTGCACCAAGGTCACATAAAGCTTTATCAAAATAAACTTCACCAATAGTATAAGGGACTGTGAAACTCCCTGGATCTTTCAATTTTGGTGGAAGCTTTTTCTGAATTCTTACGCTGCAATCTTCTATCAATATTACCGTCTCATGTTCCTCCAGCTTGCATTTATTAGATAGGACATCCTTTGGGAATTTAGCATAGCTGGGCATCTGGACTAATGTATTGGGGAACGGGATGTTGATGTGGAGCTTCTTGAAGACTTCCAGAAATTTCTTGTACTGTTGCTCCCTTTTGTGTTTCTTCAACCTTTGTGGAAATGGAATTGAAGGTTCATATGGGTTTACTGTAACTGTTGCTTTATTCCTAGCTTTTTCTAAGCTTTCCTTTGCGGTAGATGTGTTTGGTTGTTCATCCTGCTCCACAGTTTCTTCTTCTACAGAAGGTGTATTCTCTTTGTTCTTGATAGGCTTTTTGACATATATATCAGGTAGCTACACTCCACTTTGAGTTGTGATGGCCTTGGCATGCTCTTTTGGGTTGATTTTCGTGTTACTTGGCAAATTTCCCTGTGTTCTTCCAGTAAAAGCAATGGTCATCTGTCCCATTTGAGTTTCCAAGTTTTTGATGGCAGCATTCTAGTTTTGCAGAGTGATTTCAATTTTCTCCATGTATTGATTGGTCCTCTCCATGAATTTCCCGAACATGTATTCCAATTGAGGCTTTTTCTCTTGCTGTTGAAATTGACCCTGCGGCCTATTCTAATTCTGGTTGCTCCAAGAGAAATTGGGATGCTTCTTCCAACTATTATTGTATGTTTCCCCATATTGATTGTTCTATTGGGGTTGCCTCCATTGTGCAAAACCTGCCTGCTCAACTCCTTGCATTAAAATTGGACACTCTGATATTTTATGCTCAGCTCCGAATTCTTCACATCTAATCTTCTTATTTTGTGTTGTTTGTGATATGCTTTCTACCTTGTGAAACAATGAGTCGCAGATATGGTTGAATAAGTATCGACCTTATAAACACCCGGAGGTTTCTTCTGAGTTACCAGCTCAGATGCCCACATCACTGAAGTAGTTGTCATTTTCTCAAATAATTCTAGTGCCCGATCAACTGTTCGTGTGGATATTGAGCCATCTGATGCCGAGTCCATCATGCTTTTGTGGTACGGAAGTAACCCCGCATAAAAAATCGAATTTGGGTCCTTTTGTCATACCCATGTTGAGGGCACTTCCGGAGCATATTCTTGAATCTGTTCCAGGCTTCTTCAAATGATTCGAATTTTCAATGGCTAAAAATGGATATTTCGTGTCTCATTTTAGTTATCTTGGCTGGTGAGAAGCACTTCGTGCAAAATTTGTGAGCCAGGTCGTTCCAAGTAGTGATGCTTGTAATAAGAAGCAAATCCAACCATTCAAGTGCCTTGTCCCACAAGGTGTGTGAAAAACACCTTAGCCTAATAGCATTGTCCGAGATTCCTTGATATCTAAAGTGTTGACACACATCCAAGAATCGAGATATGTGTGTATGTGGATTTTCTTCGGCTCTGCCATAAAATTGATGCCTATTCTGGAATAGTTGTATCACATTCGTCTTTAATTGAAAGTTGGGTCGTCCAAATGGTGGATACACAATACTGGACTGGTTTTGAATCACTTGAGGAGTCAAGAAGTTGCCCAAAATCTCATTTCCTTCGTTCACTGCCTCTCCTTCATTGGTTAGGATAATAGGATTGTTCAGTTCATTAGCCATTTGCAATTTTGCTTCTCGGTTCTTTCTTTGTAGTCGATGAAAAGTGCGCTCAATTTCAGGATCGACCGGAATCAATTCTCTTCCGGTCAATCTTAGCATGCAAATCTGAGAGAAAAAATAAGAGTAGCACTTAGACACTAAAGAGATAGATCGAATTCAAAAATAAAACAAAGACAAAATAAACGAAAAAAGAAACTAAAAAAAATACAAAAATACAAGTAGAAGTTCAAATTAGTGCCAAAATAAATGAAGTCAAACTAAAACTCAATCCCCAGCAACGACGCTAAAAACTTGTTCACGAAATATTTTCTTTCGATTTAAATCATCGCAAGTGTATGGTTCATTAACAAGTAATAAAGAGGATCAATTGAGTCCGAATATCATCCCACAGAGATTAATTAGTTTAATTTTACCTAACTTGGTCTTAACCGAAACTGATTTGTCAAACGTGAATTTTAGTGACTTAAATTAACATTACTTGGATTAAATATGCAAATATGTATAATTTGAATGAACTAAAATGTGAAGTAAATGTGTTGATTGCAAGTTGGTGTACTCGATGGATATAAAAGCCCACTAGGATCATGAATCCCCAAGCAATGCTCAATTTAACCTTAATTCCACACTTTGACAACATGATGACATTTTGAAGAATCAATACTCCTAAATATATCCAACACTCTCTCTCGAGATGAATTGAACCTATTCTCATACACCACTAGCCTATATCTTTATGACGGATGCAAATATATGAGAATGCACGTAGTTTTGTAAGTACTTAGAGATATACGCAAAGCATAGAGGTATATTTCTATCTTCTATCGAATCTTATGATGATTTATACCTTGTCGAATTCATTCCTCTTCTTTCGAATAGATGAAACAAACCACCAAAACTCACATAATTACGGACCTATAATCATGGAAGCAATTAAATGCATATAAATCATTCAAACCAATCAATATATGTTTTAGTGTCAAAATATGGAACAAAGAATTAAATATCACATTACAAGGTTCATCGATCTCCTAGTATAGATTTTTCTAGCCTAACATAATGGAAAGAAGAACATAACAACAAGAATCAAGAAAAGACATCACCCTATTGAATTCTTGAAGTGAGATACTGAATCTTGGATTGAATCTTCTTGTTCTTCCTTCTTCTTCCTCTTCAGATCCTCCCAAAATAATGTATAATGTGTCCTCTCTATTTTTGGACGTCCCTAGGGCTTTAAAAGACTCCTAAGATTTGTTTTCATAAGAGTTTTAATCAGAAAAAGAAATCAGAAAATTTTCGCCGCGGTTGGCCTAGGCTGTCGCTCAGGCAAAACCCGGGCTGTCGCCCAGGCTAACATTTGCTTCTCAATAATAAGAAAAACATATGAGGCGATCGCCCTGTTTTTATAACTGGGCTGTCGCCCAGGCAAAATTTCTTCTATATGTTGCATTTTAGCCCCCGAAGTCGATTTTTAATTCTTTCAAGCTCTTTCTCTTGCAATTTCAACTATTTGACTTTCATTTGCATCCAATTGAACCCACAACATCTTTAATCTTCATTTTGTGATCCGAATCAACTATTGAAATGTTGCAATTTAGTCCTCATACTTTGGATTTCCCCCTTTTTTCTTTTCCAATTGCTTAGGAACTGGTCCATCACTGAAATAAACGAAAAATTACTCAAGTTAAGTAACAATTAACACTTTCATGACATAAAAACTTAATAATATGGTCTAAATAAGTGCATAAAATGCACTTATCAGTTGTTGATGTGGAGATGGTGAAAGAGTCGAGTATGCGAGCTTGACTTGGGATTGGAGGTAATGATGGTGGTGGCCAATGACATTTGGGCAACAAGGGCAGAGGTAGAGAAGATAAGTGGCTTTATTATTTTCCATTTTTGTTCTTTTTTTTTTGTTTATTTATTATTTTTTAATTAAGCCTCCATTTGAGAAGGGTATAAAAATCATTAATTTATAAATAAATAAAAATGAGCATAGATCTGTCCGGCGAAATATTACCCAATCCTAAGATGGACATTAGGGTGTTAGCTTGGGCTATCAACAACTCTTACTAGTACCCTTTTCCTTTGGGCCTCGTAAAAGCATTTTTAAAAAGGCTATTTAAATATAAAATACTCTCTATTTTAAAGAGTTAACTCATAAAATTATATTCTTAGAAATTTTTTAAACATTGTAGAGCATCTTCAATAGACCATTTATTTTTAAAGGGTATATTTTGCAATTTAAAGAGTATATATAAATTTAGAGAGTAAAATTTTAAGTACTTCAATAAGCTTTTTATATTTAACAGTTATTTTTATTATTCCCAAAAACTATTTATTATTTTTCCATTTCTTGTGTTTTCATTACTTTCCTCCAAATTATTATATTATTTTTCTCCATTGAATATTAAAATATTTTGAATGCATTTAATTATATGAAGTGAGTTTAGCTTTTTAAATTTGGAGAGTTCTAGTATCTCCAATAGATTCTATATTTTTAAGAAGTATATTCTATAATTTAGAAAGCATTTATAAATTTAAAGAGTAAATTTTTTAAAATATTTCAACGTGCTCTTTATATTTAACATTAAATTTTACTATTCCAAACAAATATTTATTATTTTTTCTATCATTTATTTTGACTAGCTCCTCTTCAAATTATTATATAATTTTCCTACATTGAAAATATCTCAAATTTGGAGAGTCAAACTCACTATTTAAATTAAAATGTTAATTTAAAGAGTTTCTTAGAGCATAATTTTAAAAGGTGACTCTTTAAAATAGAGATGATCTTGCATTTAAATAGTCTCTTGAAGATGCTCATAATTTTAAAAATTGACTCTTTAAAATATAGAGTATCTTATTTTTAAAGAGCTTCTTGAAGATGCTTTTAAAATAGAGAGTGAGTTTGACACTCTAAATTTAAAAAGTCATTCCACTCTATATTACATTCAAAAAATTTTGTAACCCCCAGAAACTTATGTCCCAAAAGTTGCTCAGATAAATTATTTAGCCATTATAAAATTTGATTGACACATTGTAATTCAAAAAATAATAAACCATTTTATTGTCTC